TCCTGCAGGATGGAGGCGATGAACGTGGAGGGGGACAGAGGGGTTTCAACAGCAGGAGGGTTCCCTGGGCTGGCCTCCTCTATCTGGGGGCTGCGGGCGGGACTAGGGGGCTCTTCTTTGATACGGACCACAGGACTGCCCCTGCCAGAGAGAGAAAAGAAGCCGGTAAGAATCCCACACCAACGCGTTCTTGACTCCGAAGATCCGCTTCCACACACCAGGGCAAAACCAGTCCCCGTGGCTGCCTCTGCCTTTTCACAGGCAAAGCCTGGGCTGAATGAGTACACAAATATTTCTTATCATAGAATCACAGAATGGTTTGGGTGGGAAGGGACCCCTAGAGGTCACCCAGCCCAACCCCCCTGCAGGACCAGGGACACCTTGAACCACATCAGGTTGCTCACAGCCCCGGCCAACCTGGCCTGGAATGGTCCCAGGGATGGGGCCTCCACCCCCTCTCGGGGCAACCCCTGCCAGGGTTTCACCACCCTCATTGTAAAGAACTTCTTCCTTATATCCAGTCTAAACCTACCCTGGTTTAGTTTAAAACCATCCCCCCTTGTCCTGTCCCAGCTGGCCCTCCTAAAAAGATTTTCCCCACCTTTCCTATAGGCCCCCTTTAGGTATTGAAAGGCTGAAATCAGGTCTCCCCGCAGCCTTCTCTTCTCCAGGCTGAACACCCCCAACTCCCTCAGCCTGGCCTCATAGGAGAGGGGCTCCAGTCTTCTCCAACTCCGACCCTGATCAGCTCCCCTGTGGCACCAGCGCCTTGCGCTGCCACTGCGATCTCAGCGCGTTTCGTGTGGCTACAGCTTCGCGAGGCCGCTCGGCCCGGGACCTGCCCTGCAGTCGGCTCCGCACGGGTGACGCTGTTGGAAGGGGGGCATTCTCCCATGTGTTAGTTTTACGGGAAGGGAAGACGGCTTCTTCGCTCAGCCCAAATTTCACCACCCCGGCTCCCTGATTTGGGGCCGTAAGAGGCACAATTAGTCCTACTGGGAAGGACAGCAGCTACAAAAGGGCCGTTAAGCAAACATACGGTCTATATTTAAGAGCGAGTGTTCCTGGCAGAGAGTCTTAAAGGCAATAAATGGCATTTGTGGGTGATTCAGCACCTCGGGGGAGGTGCCAATGCCAGGAATAACCTAGTGAAGAGGAAGAAAAAGGGAGTCTGGAGAGCACAAG